ATGTTCTGGAAATCTCACTCTTCTTCCAGAACGTGTCGTTTTAAGTTTATTTTCGGATACTGTCGAAGTATCATCGTGTGTGTTGGTTGTCGGATGAGGTATTATAAGTGTCGGAGTCGTGTCGTTCAATTGTACCGAAGGAAAATCCACATAGATAGGATTTCCTTCTAAATACGCTGCTTTGAGGCGATCGATGCTGATGCTGTCGTTGGTTCCGTTCTTATCGATTATATAGTACTTCGGTTCGCGTTGAAGAACTTTGAAAGGTCCTTCGTATGCTGATTCGAAAGGTCGTCGATGCGAGTCTCGACGAACGAAAACGTGTGTACTATATCGTAACTCAGGTTGAATGAAAACATCAGTTGATTGAGGTCGAGTGGAAGCAGGTTTAACTGAACGCATTGCGTTTGTAAGCCTGTTCGTGTAGGAGGTTAGATCCATGCTCATTGAAGAGGATGAAGGATCCACGAATTCTCCTGGAAGTCGAAGTGTCGTTCCATAAACGAGTTGAGCCGCAGTGTATCCAATGTCAGCTTTCACTGCATTGCGGATACCTAGTAAGACGAGTGGAAGAGCGTCGGTCCACTGTGAAACGTTTGCAGCTGATAGTGAAGCTTTTAGTTGTCGGTGAAAGCGTTCTACCAACCCGTTTGCTTGTGGGTGGTAGGCGGTCGTTCGGAAGCGAGTGCTTCCTAATAGTGTGGTCAGACGATGGAAAAGTTCAGACTCAAACTGACGTCCCCGGTCTGTAGTGATGGTTGAAGGGCAACCGAAGTTTGCTACCCATCGTTCGACGAAGGTTCGGGCCCTTGTTTCAGCAGTGATGTCCTTGATAGGTACTGCTTCTGGCCATCGAGTGAAACGATCTACACAGGTCAAGAGGTAAGAGTATCCATTTGAATCTGGTAAAGGTCCTACCAAATCCAGATGAACATGGTCGAAACGAGCATCGGGAGTTTTAAATGAGCCTAAGGGACATTTATTGTGTCTGATGACCTTAGATTTTTGGCAGCTTACACAGGAGCGTGCCCACTCCCTCACGTCTTTATTCATACCAGGCCAGCAAAAGCGTTCTGCTATGAGCTTGATGGTTGCACGAACACCTGGATGAGAAAGTTTGTGCAATGTGTTGAAGACATTGCGTCGATAATGTTTCGGAACGATTGGGCGATCTCTACCTGTAGATGTGTCACAAAGTAAGGTTTCCTTACCTGTTCCCATCTGTTTGATGCGTAGTTTAAGGGTTGTGGACGATAACTCTTGCTGAAGATCAGTGTCTTCTTTTTGAAGCTGGGCGAGTTTAAGAAGGTCGATTCCTTGGAAACTGTTCAAGGAGTTTATTCGAGACAAGGCGTCTGCAACTACATTGTTTGCTCCAGAAATATGTTGAATATCTGAAGTAAACTGCGAAATGTAGTCCAGTTGTCGAGACTCACGGGGAGAGTACTTGTCAGAAGGAGAGCTTAACGAGAAAGTGAGCGGTTTATGGTCAGTGAATAGAGTGAATTCGCGGCCTTCGATATAGTGTTGAAAATGCCGTACAGCACAATACATAGCTAGGAGTTCCCTACCGAATGTGCTGTATCTCGATTCGGTGTCTAGCAACCGTCTAGAAAAAAATGCCAAGGGTTGCCAGGAGTTGTTAATCCATTGTTGTAAGACTCCTCCGATTGCCGAGTCGGATGCGTCTACTGCGATACTAATGGGTGCTTCGGTGTCCTGATGTGCGAGCATTGTTGCTTTAGCGATCAGTTCCTTAACTGTGGAGAATGCTTTTCGTGCGGTGTCGTCCAAATTAATGGATTTCGCATTTCCACGCAGTTGGTCAGTAAGAGGTTTCATAAGTAATGCGCATTTCGGTATGAAGCGTCTATAGAAACTTACCAGGCCGTTAAACGTGCGTAATTGCTTGACGTTGGTCGGTTCTGGGTAATCCAAAATGGCCGCCACTTTGGTCCTAAGAGGTCGAATGCCTTGAGCATCGATAGTGTGTCCTAGGAAATCTAACGAATCGGTTCCGAATTGGCATTTCTGAACGTTTACAGTAATGCCATGTTCTTGTAATCGTTCGAAAACAAGATCCAGATGCTTGAGATGTGATTCTCTATCCGGACTTGCGATTAAGCAGTCATCAACATACGCATGTACGAAGTTGAGACCTCGAAAGACGTCGTCTATGAATCTTTGGAAAGTTTGCGCAGCGTTTCTTAGACCGAACGGCATTCGCAAAAATTCATAGAGTCCGAAAGGAGTTATGATAGGTGTTTTCGGTATGTCGTTAGTAGTCATAGGGATTTGGTTATACGCTTTAACCAAGTCGATTTTCGAAAAGACAGTTGTACCTTTCAAGGTAGCTGTCAAATCGTGAATGTGAGGCAACGGGTAACGATCGGGAATGGTTTTTGCATTCAATCGCCGATAGTCACCAGTTGGACGCCAATTTTTGCTGTCCTTTTTAGGGACCATGTGCAACGGAGATGCATAAGGGCTGTTTGACGGTCGTATGATTCCTAAGTCTATCATGTGATCGAATTCGTTTTTCGCTAACCTCAGCTTTTCCGGAGCTAGTCGTCGTGCTTTAGAGAATACAGGTGGTCCTGTAGTCGTGATGTGATGTGTAACATTGCTGGTTACACACGGTAGTTTCGTTTGAGTTTTCTGTATCCCAGGATACTTGTCGAGTAGTGGTTGATAGAGTGGGTCTATCGAATGCTTAACTGTGACTGGGGATAATCTACAACCAGAAAAGGAAGTTACGCAAACGGATAATTTAGTGTTTCCATCTACTAGCCTCCGTTTGCGCGTGTCGATGATTAGATTATGGTGTTGTAGAAGATCCATACCAATGATTGGCATAGAAACATCTGCAACAACGAAAATCCAGTGAATGGGTTTGCGTAAACCCACGTTAAGGTAGACGTACCTTTTGCCATACGTGGCGATCGGTTTTCCGTTTGCCGCCTGTAAGTTTAGAGTTGATTTGTGGAGCCGGTCGTTATGATTTGCTGGGAGAACGCTAACTTCTGCGCCAGTGTCGACGAGGTAGCGAACTCTCGTTGTCACATCTGTGATGTACAACAGACGGCTATGTTCGCCGGCTACGGTTGCCGTTAACGCGTGCCGGCTTGGAAGTTTCCCGAGTTGTTTTTCGAGTCAGTCGTTTTCGTGTTGGGAAAATTGCAGGGTTTTCTGCAATTTCTGGAAGATTTTCCATACTGGTTATGATACCAGCACCAGTCGGGGTTATCCGTCTCTCGTGGTCTAGAGACAGATAGTTTACGCGAAATGCTTCTACGTGGACTGCGTGAGCGACTACGGTCGTTACGAAGATTAAGATAACGCGTGAGTGTATGACATAATTCGGTTATGTCATTCTGAGTCGTGTGAGGCTTTTCTTTGACGGAAAATACTTTTGAAGTAGACGATTTCGTTATTTCTAAAATACGATCGGCAGATGCAGCTAGCTCGTCTAAGGCGTTGTTCTGAAACGAGACCAGAACCGCTTGCACCTGTTGAGGAAGTTTAGACAAGAAAAGTTGTTTAAATAGACCGTCGTCGAAAGTTCTTAGGCCTATCACTTCTCTCATTCTTTGCAACATGTCAGTCGCAGAACCGTGTTGCAGGTCGATGTTATTGAAGAGTTGATCTAAACTTTGTCGATCGGTTAGGTCTCCTCGTTTAAGAATCGAACGTTTCAAGATTTCGTAAGGATCGGAAACATCACTAGTAAACATACTAGGTGTTACGTACCTGTTGAATTCGCGCGGTAGTGCCTTGACTACTGCGAGGAATTGTGCACGTGTGTCGACCACGCCGTGCTCGGAGAAATCGGATTCTGCGTAGCAGAACCAGGCTTCGATATTGTCGGGCCAGAAAGGCATGAGTTGAAACGAAGGCGGGGACAAAGTCTTAAGCTTGAATACTTTAGGTGTCTGTTCAGCCATGATGAAATATGAAGTGCGATAATGAACGAGGGGAAAATATATATGTATCCAAGGGAAAACACGAAAATAATCACAATGTTTTAAAAAAAATAAGGAAATAATATATAAAAATCCAAAAAAGGAACAGACTCACAGTTGCAATCAGGTGTACCAGATCACGACGGTTTCACCAATGATGATGATACAGGTATTCAGTGTTTGACAACGCTTCTACCTGTAACACCTCCTAATATGCTTTGTTCCCACCGAGAGAAATCAAAAGACAGAGTCGAGGAGATCGGAAGAGTGTATTTGGCGATAACCAATATATCGGGAATCTCTGATCTAATCTGGCTAGTGATTGCGATTGTTGTCGAGCACAGCGTGACAGCACGTGATCTGGTGCGGATGCATGACCGAGCGCCTTCAGCTAGATGAGTCCACTAAAACATATGGTCAGCATCCAATGTCGAAAACCTATTGAGCTATTTAGTTTGGGGATTTATTTACCGCTACAAGGGAATGTTTAGAATTTTATATCCCATATATGTTAGACCACATTTAGAGTACTGTATCCAAGCAGCTAGCCCGTGTATGGTAAAGGATACTAACTCACTTGAGCGTGTCCAGCGTGTAGGAATGAAATTAGTGAAGGGTCTTTCTAGACTCTTTTACAGTGAGCGTTTAAGACGCCTAAATCTTTTCCCCTTGTCGTATCGTAGGACACGCGGTGACCTTATACTGGCATTTCGTATCTTTAATTATGATTTGGGTGTTAATATGTCCTATCTTTTTGCTCTCACCAGCACTAATAATCTCCGAGGTCATAGCAAGAAGGTTCATAAACCACGATCTAATAAACTTAAAGTGGGATCCCGTTTTTCTCATCGAGTAGTCAATGATTGGAACGCCTTACCCGAACAAGTGGTATCAGCCTCATCAGTGAATACTTTCAAGGAGAAGCTGGACCTTCATTGGAAAGCAATGTGTCAGGATTAACACAGGTTCATCAACCTACTATCCTTATTACTGAAGACTGAAGAAGTGTTTTAGAGATTTCAAGATTACAGCGCCAACTTCAGGGTTTGTGGCTAACGTACGATCGGTTCACATGGGATTTTATACAAAACGTGATAATTGAGCGGCTATAACAAATATAACGGCGGGACTATAATTTTTGGACGAAACAATCAGGTATGAGATAAGTGATTTCGGATTTTAACGCGAAAATTTTTTCATGCATTTGGTTAAACGGATTTCTGGCATTACAGCTAATGTCAGTTCGTGATGAAAACCCCATATATAATTTTTGACTAAGGTAACTCACGAAAATTATCGCGAACTGGATGGTAAAAGCATCAGTAACACCGACTGCAGACAGATACTACAATATATACGGATGTTTGGAGAGCGTATAGACTCATACATAGGCTTGGTTATATGCATCTTGTCGTTATTCACAAGTGGTATTTTGCGAAACCAACAACCGGAGTGCACGCAAACAATATTGAAGCTATGTGGTTGAGGCTGGAATTTTTTGCGACTTTATCATGGCTCCAGGCCGACCATTATGGAGACATATGGATGATTTCCTCTACCGTATGCATTACGATTTTAGAACCTCTGAACATTTTTCTATCTTTGACAAGTTTTTGGACCATGTATAAGAAATATATCCACTTTATTGCCTTGGTTTCGTATAATGTTTTCTTCAGTCTTCAGTAATAAGGATAGGAGGTCTGTCGACCTATATTAATCCTTGCAGCTTGTAATACTGTGGAGGTCCAATCTCGTTTTGAATATATTAACAGATGGTGCTGATATTACGTGTTCCGGTAGAGAATTCTTATTCTATACTGACTACTGATTGGTTAATGTTTCTCAAGGTCACTTAGGATTCATTCATAGGTCGTCCATGAATTAGAATCTCTCCTTTCTGGCTTATAGGGCAGGAGCAGACTCCGAAAATTGAACCATTTCGCCCATTTTTTCACTTGTGTCCTCCGAAATTCCCTTTTTTTCAACTGGTTGGGCGTCTGCAATGCATCATTCCATTGAAATTGTTATCACCCCGGGATTTGCACTCTCAACCTAATCATGAATCCTAACACATGTCTATGGTTTAAGTTCTATTATCTATCCCTAGTCTTCTTACATTTTATTTGTTGTCAGTTGTCGACAAACCTACATAGGAATTTAGAGATGAATCCAACTGCAGTAATACACTTGCGCAACGCATATTTCGGGGACCCCCCCAAATTTCTCCAAACTTGGGGTGTTATATAACAGACTGAAAGCAACGATCGAGAAAACGTATTATGTTGCTTAACTGATTTTGGTTAAAAGGACTAAGCCTGTATTTTTAAATAGACCTAGACAATGCACTAATGATTAGATTGAATCCCATTTCATCCTTATTTAAATGTTTGTGAAGTCAGTCAGTCAGTAACAACGTAGAACTTCGTACGTACGTACATCAGTTCGAGTTGCCACACCACATTAGCACAGAAATACAGTGGTCGATTCAAATCCCGTAGTGCTAGATGTAGTAAAATTATAAGCTATAATCAGAAAAATTAGGGTTTGAGGATGTTATTCAAGGAGTATAATACAGTGAAATAAATTTGGGAACAGAAAAAAAAGACAAGGAGGAATAAGGAGATCGAAATTTGGGAGAACACAAAGAGTGGATGCACCTGCGCCATTGCAAACGAATTTGAGCCATGTCACTCACGGTCTCTAACCATCGGTTGCTATCGTCTAGTGGATTCCAACCAGGTAGTCTATACATACCAACGTGACTCAGTCTACTTGTCAGTGACTTCATGGACTTGTTCCATGTTTTGGTCTGGTCGCCCCTAGCTTTCTTCCAATCTACTCCTATACCACTGAACATCGCACATCGAGGCAGTCGGTCGTTGGGCATACGTAACACGTGTCCCAGCCATCTCAACTGATGAAGTTTCACTACTTTTTATTTTTTATTTATTTCAACACATAGATAATGGTACAAAGAGGCACCAAATACATATGCGCCACACAAATCTCATTCGATATGTGTGAGGGCTGTGATACTGCCCGGGTGCCCAAACCGAAGCAGGTGGTTTTCTTAGGGGGCCACACCCCGAGCCTTCGACCTGAAGGTCTGATCCACAAGGCAGTGGAGCATCGTGAGGAGATGCAGTCCCATGGAAGCCGGTGACCAACAATTGGTTCATTCGCCATTTGTTCCCGCAGGATACTGGAGCCCATGTGCACCATTGGTTTGGAATCCGGTTAAAGCGCCGGACATTCGCTTTTCGTCCTCTCATTTTCGTAAACAACACCCCCGCCACGAGAAGGCAGTGAGTAGGACTTCCCTGGCAGAGGCTATATACGCGTGGCCGTGTGAGAGTATTTCGAGAGGGAGAGCGGACTCTCCCCACTCTCGGCCGTACCAGGGCATTTGGGGGCAAGTTTCACTACGTCATCAATTGATTTGCCATCCTTACCTAGTACTCGTTTCCTAACAACTGCATTACTTACTCGATGGTCCCAGGATATACGAGCAATGTTTCGAAGACACCTATGATCAAATACTAGTAACCTACGAATATCCTCTACTCTTATCGGCCATGTTTCACTGCCATAAAGTAGGACGGAACGAACTGCTGCGCAGTTAACACGTCATTTGGTTGATAGACGGATATCTCGCCTACGCCATAAATGACGCAAGTTGGTAAAAGCTAGTCGAGCCTTCTGTATCCGTGCTGAGATTTCGTCACACACCAGACCACAAGGGCTGATGAGACTTCCAAGATAAGTGAAGAAGTTGACACACTCAATTACTTCACTCCCTATCATTAGTTCGGGTGTCGATGCAACCCAATCCTGAAGCAACATTTTGCATTTCGAGGGGGAGAATCGCATCCCGAACATGCTAGCACTGTTGCTTAGAGTGGTCAGAAGACTCTGCATTTTGTCAGCGTCTTCACCAAATGGAACTATGTCATCAGCATATTCTAAGTCAACAAATGAATCTCCCGGTAGAAGTTCAACTCCTGGAGATTTAGATGAGGAGAGTGTTATCTCTAAAAGTACGTCAATGACAAAGTTGAACAAGAATGGCGAGAGTAGACAGTCCTGACGAACACTACTTGAGGTAATCCATTGTGATGACAGTTCGCCATAAGCTCTCACTTTACCAGGTGTGTTCGAGTAGAGAGCCTGGATAAGGTTAATGTACTTCTTCGGTACTCCTTTCAGTGACAAACACTGCCATAGAACCTTACGATCAACAGGTTCGAATGCCGCCTTAAGGTCGAGAAATACTACCATTGTGGGGCGTCTGAATTTGTGTCTGTGTTCCAGAACCTGACGTAGTGTGAATATCTGATCTATACAACCGCGTCTAGGTCGAAAATCAGCCTGGTTTTCTCTAGTCTGTTATTCACGAGCTTTAGTTAGGCGTCTAAGTATTATTGAGGCTAATATTTTAGACACTATATTAGTCAAACTGATTCCTCTGTGATTGTCACAAGAGGACTTTTGTCCTTTCTTATAAACTGGCATAATCAGTGATTGAGGCCAGTCAGATGGGATTATGTTTAGTTCCCAGATTCTACCTAAGACCTCAGTTAATCTCACTGCTAATACTGAACCATCATCCTTAAAAATCGCAGGAGTAAATCTGTCAGGGCCTGCTGCTCTCCCTCGCTTCAGATTTCCTATGGCTTTTTCAACTTCTTAAAGAGACGTAGGTCCTACATTAACTTGCCATTCAGGTTGACCGGAGATCATGGGAAACCGAAGTGTGGCTGAAGGCCAGTTGAACTGATCCCTAAAGTGTTATGCCCATCGATCCAATCTTCTGGATTGAGAATGAATAATATGTCCATCTTTCTCTGAGATTTCGCTAACAGTCGGTTTCCTAATACCGGTTCCCTTAACAAGTCTGAACAATTGTCTGCTATTACTTATTGCCGCTGCTTTTTCCATCTCTCTTGCTTTCACTACCCACCACTGTTCGCGATCATTGCGTATGCTTCTTATCAGCTTGCGCTTAAGCTGACTCCGCTCTTCACTATGTTCAGAGCCAGGTGGAATGAGTTTCCGAGCATCTATCAGTGCGGTAGATGCTGCTGAGATCCAGTGTTTCTCCCTAACCTTGTGGTTTACCGTATTAACAGATATCACTGCTGTTTCCACAGCTTTTCGGATGTCATTCCATGCTGCCTCGGGGTGGGCATCACATACATGGCTGCCTAACTATTTTTCTAGTTGTTCCTGAAATATACTCTTAGCTTGACTATCATTAAGTAGGGCCCTAAGAGGTTTCCTTGCAGCCTCTTTCCTACGTCCAGTAATACGCAGGCAAATACGTGCTCACATTGGAGCATGATCCGAATCTAAGCATGTGCGACAGTCTTCCATCGAGCCCCTCCATCGGTGGCTGATAGCGATGTGATCTATTTGGGTCCAACGTTGAGACGAATTAGGGGGTCGCCATGTTAAAAGATGTTTTTCCTTATGCTTAAAGTTATTATTTGCAAGAAACTGGCGGTTATCTGAACATAGCTGCAACAGACGGTTGCCATTATCTGTTCTTTGAGCCACGATGCTATAAGATCCACCCGGGTGTCTTTCGCTTAGTTTACCTACTTGAGCATTAAAGTCACCGGCCACTATTACTACATCAGAGCGCCTGGCTTTTCGGAGATCGGAGAGCTTTCTGTAAAACTCATCCTTTACATCGTTTGAGCTGCAGTCAGTGGGAGAATAGGCAGAGACGACGAAGAGGCAACGACGAGTGTCCCTATGTTTTCGGATCCTTACTGTTCCGTTCACTCGAATAGCGCACAAACGACTGTCTACTAGGATCCAGTCTAAGAGAGCTAGTTCTGCCCTGCGACTCAAAGCTGTGCATACGCCGGCGAGGCCACGGGAAACAGAATCAGTGCTTTCAGATACACGAAGTGTGAATCGAGTCGGTTCTTTATTTTTGCATGGTGAGTTCAAATAAATGACGCTATTCGGATCCTGTATGCGCGGTTCGGAGATGCAGCACACATCGATGGCGCGGGATTCTAAAGTCCTAGCTAAGGAAGCCTGCTGTCCTATTGGGCACAGTGTTCAAACGTTAAAATCCTGCATGTAGTTTAGAGCGTGGTTGCAGGAGACCAGGAATAAAGTTCCGCGTACTCGAATCGTTTGCC